ATTTGACATTGTTTCTAAAAACTGCCTTTTCAAAAAAGTGCTTTTGAAAAAGGTAATTTGTGTTTAACTAATTCATTTGAAAAAAAAATTAAGAACCAAATTGTCACGACCCAACCCACCGGGATCGTGCGGGCACCTACATACTACCACCTAAGTAGGAGAATCCTCATATCCCAATTAATTTAAAACATGCGGAAAATTAAATAAACGAAAATAACATATACGAAATTTTATAAATAAGAACCTCTAACACAATTTGGTTAAAACTTGTAAAGTAATTAACACCCCTAGGGATCTAGTCTAAACAGGTACAAGAGCTACTAAGAGTACAATTGGACATAATAAATTAAAATACACAGCTCCCACCATGCGGAAGGAAAGATAGAAGCTGCTGGAGAATTTCTTCGTCTTCACCTAATGAAACATCACCGATCCTGCAACCAGACTATGTCAAAAGACATAGCAAGAATAGTATCAGTACAAAACACACGTACTGGTAGGCATCATCGGTCAACCTGACGCCCACCACATAATATAAGAAACCAACTAGTTAGAAACATGTCATAACACCCCTCGCTTCTCCACATTTACCTTTTCTCGAAAAAAACCAACTTCATCACACTAGCACTCTAACTACTAACCACCTTTCCGGTCAACCTACTTACTAGGTTCTTGATCATAGCCTAACCATTCTAACACATAGAAAAATTCCCAAGTACAACTATAAGCCTTCCAACTAACCAATCACGTCAACCCTTACTTCCTCTACATATTACCTAGTCATAGCCACATGGTACATTACGTCACGCTTCCTAACCCCCAAACACAATCCCTTTTTCCAAGGTGAAATTCCCCTAACCACTTACAACACGTACACTACCCCCACTACTTGCCATTACAACACACGACTCCCTCACTTGGACATTAACAATTCTTGAGATACTGACTCCCCACCTCTGTTTCACCTTTCATCAATATAAATACCCAGGCTACTCAACATAGAAGAACAATCAAGCAAGACCTCATAACCATAACACAACTCCGATAAATACAACATCAATTAGCATCACGAACCATGTTCAAATTCACATTATCCAGGTAGACATTTATATCACATCATTGGTCCTCTCATGGAACCCAAACCCAAAATGTTAGCATACTGGAATGTGGTACTCGATCCAAAGATTATGCCAGAGCATGGTAACTGATCCCATAATTATGCCGGAACGTGACAACCGATCCAAGTTAGTTATGTCGGAACATGGCAACCGATCCATAATCACAATCACAATGTATATTATCACAATCATACAACAAGAGGTGCTTCATAGCATACAGTTCTTCGTTCATACTTATTCACATTAGGTGTGATCAAGATGTTTCGTTCACATACATGCACGTATTACAAGGAAGCAAGAACAATCATGCATCACACAATCATAGGATCACAACCATCACCAATAAACTACTCATCCACGTATATCATGTAAGCATTAATTCAGTCATACCTAACCCTAGGTCATCATCTAAGGCTTCTTCCTAGGATTAAGCCATATTTCGTTCGGTGCACGAGGGCCTACGCATAATTCTACCGCTGATTTACATATATTACGCAGTGAACACAGATTTATAACTACTCAATTCATAAAACCTAGCCTATTTGGGCGCCAAGCAGCTGCACAGAGGAATTGCAGATAATTTCCTGATTTTCCGAGTGACATGACGGTAAATTTGGCCAAGAATCTACAAGATATCATCATCCTCACGCTAGAAATCTCATTCTCCTTCCTTCCCAAGCTTAGAGCAGCTTTCTTAGGGTTTCTAGGGTGTTTTATGACTAATTTAGGTATTTTAGGAAGAAGGAGAAAATAGGATTTCGCGTTATTTACATTATGTCTCGCCTATCCCGCTCTAGCACCAACTTACCCCGTCGTGGCGCTGCCGCCCTAGCGGCATCTGGTCCGCTCTAGCGAGGCAATGTCCCAGAATTTTCTCGGATTTTTGTTTCTCCTAAACAACGACGGTTCGGATCGTTACACAAATTGTGTCTGACTAATCTTTTTTTTAAAATACTTTTCAGAGTCGAATTACCAAAAGAGGTAGTACCAATGCACTTTTAATGTTAAGATTATTTTATAGAGACAAATTATTTTAAATATATATTATAAATTTTTGAATTGAAATTTTATAGTTATTAAATTAAAATGTACATATTCAAACTTTTAATCTATATTATAAATATATGAACAAAAAAAATATTAAATATCGATATAATATTAACATGATGATTTGAAATATAATTAAAAATATCAAGCAAAATAAATTTACACTCTGAAAATTAAATCACAACATTCAAAAAATTCAAAAGAAAAATAAATAAGTATAAGAGATATATTAGTAAATAGGTATATATGACAAATATATTTTGGTCTTGAAATAAATACTTTTTTGTTTTTGCTTCTGCTTTTTTTAATAAGCAATTTTTTAGCTTCTTTTCAGTAGTAGAAAAACTACTTTTGCGTCCATTTAGAAGCACTTTTATAGATTATCCAAATAGCTTATTTTTCACAAAAAATGTCTTTTTCTCAAAATAAGTATTTTTTGAGCTTCCCATATCAAACAGGCTCTAAGAAGTAACGTAGGGACCAAAATGAGTTATTCTTGTTACCTAGTTTTTCATCTGTATATCATTCACATTTCAAAGTCTTCTTTCTTATTATACACGCTCTATCCCAAAGTATATTTGTCATATTTTGTATTCAGAGAGTCAAATTATATACACTTTGATCAATATTTTTAAGATGTATTTTTTTTATATTAATATTAGAAAAATTGCAATGTATAGTTTATTTTTAATTTTAATATATTGATTTAATTTAATTCAATTTAGCTCCAAAAATTAATTGATTTGACTCTAAAAAGCATACCAATTATTTTAGAATGGAAAATGTAAATATTTTGTAGTTTATACTTTCTATACTAAGCTTTTAAAAAATATTACTTTTTTAAAACGACATATACTATTATTAGAAAATGCCCCCAAAAAAATAAAATTGGGGTCCTAGTGGCCTTAGACCTCACCCTCCAGCCTCTCCCCAACAAATTTCTTGGAAAATGTCTCTTGGAATTTTTGGGCTTTGTCCCTATTTAATTTTTTAATGGTCTTAATTTATGTCCGTAATAAATTATTTCACAAGGCATAAATTTATATTTCATATCATAATATTTTATAAATTATGTTAGAATAAAATGTCAGTTTCAAAAGAGTTTATATCTCACTAGACATATATCCAACTGTCACATGACAAAAATTAGAAAATCAAAAGGCGAAACGTGTGATTCATTACCATAAAAATAATTTTTAGCGACAATAAATATGCACATTAACAAAGAGTGCTAAAATATTACCGGCATTAGTTAATTGTTATTGGATTCAATGTCACTATAGACTTTAGGAATATTTACAAAGAGTGTAAATTGTCTCTAAAAATATTTAGCAATAATTAAATTATTACAATTAATTAAATATCGCTAAAAATCATTTTTGATGTTGTGTTTCCTATTATAATACTTTATACTTCCCAATAATTGTAATTTTAATTTGTTGCAACTGTCTCACTTGATAGACACACTTCTGAATGATCTCCTTAGTGTAAAAAAGAAGTTGCTTTTGAAATTAAAAACAAATATAAATTTTATTTGCATTCATCATTTTCTAAACTACTAGAAGTACCCCCAATGAGACAAAAACTCCCACACTAAAAGTGAGAATCGTATAATCCTATAAATACTTGCATGTATTCCTTTAAAATATTGAGCATTTTCCTCTTATAAAGCATATGGCTTCAACTCATAGAAAACTTGTTTCCTTTATGATCATCACATTTTGCCTTGTTATAGATCATACATCTGCCGAAGTAAGTACTCTTTTTGTTTCAATTTGTACGACACACTTTCTTCTTTTAGTTTATCCGAAAGAAGCAAATTATATTATTTTGTATTTAAAAATAATTTAACTTTGATCCCAATTTCCGTTGGAAACGTACAACAAAAAAACATATATTTATGATAGTGTACGTTAGGAGTAGAGGTAGAATATTATATTGCTTACGGATTCAGATGAACCTAATGACTTTTGCTTAGATATGATTAGAATTAAAGATACTCAGAACAAAGTGGGAGTGGTCTTCGTGGTGGATTAGATGAGAGAAGTGAGACTGAGATAATTCAGACAAGTGAAGAAAAGACGGCCCAATGCCCCTACCAAAAAGTGAGGTTGGACCTGGGGATCAGAGGAGAGATAGATGTAGGCCAAAGATGCAGCAGGGGAGGTGATTACACAAGACATGACAATCCTCAGCCTACCAAGCATATGACCTTAGATAGGAGGGTATAGAGCTCAGGAATTAAGGTAGAAGGTTAGTGGACAGTCGTGCACGGTTTTGTTTCACTTATTTTTATTATTATTATTTGATTATCTCTCTGCAATTTTTATTACCACTTGTTTTCTTTTTTGCTTCGGTATGATGTTATAGTTGTTGTAACTATTATTTTCTCTAGTATTTTCAACATGAGTATTTCTTTTTTTTTTGAATTGTTTTACTTGAGTCTAACATCTTTCAGAAACTACTTACATCCCTATCTTCACAAGGCAGGGTAAAATTTGCGTAAACACCACGCTTTCTAGATCCCACTTGTGGTATTGCACTGAGTATCTTGTTGTCTGTTGTATAAGTATATAATTGTGAATCTAGCTAGTAACAAAGATGAACTATGAGTTTAGTGACAATTTAGAAACATTTGGTCACTAACTTTTTGCATGTTTGACTTGAATAAACAGTGGTTGAATCATGGTGGTGACATAACAAACAGAAGGTCAGCTCCTGAAGAAATTTTAATCAGCCCAAGAACAATAACTTGAAATTAAGGTGGAAAATCTTAGCCGGATTCGACATTACAGCAACCCCAGCAGTTGCAAATGGAGTAGTTTACTTCCCATCATGGAATGGAAATCTGTATGCAGTGAATGCAATAAATGGAAGACTCCTTTGGCAACAGAATCTTACAAGGCTAACTGGAGCACTTGGTCTACTCTGCTTGATCCAAGGCCTCTGGCTCTTATCATTCAATCAAGAATAGTTCTCTTGGGGTTAGTTTCGTGTCCTTCGATATTTGTTACTATCTGTTTCACTGTTTGTTTCTTGTACTTCGATTTGTTGTTTTTTCTTGAGCCTAGGGGTAAGGTGTGCGTATGCTCTATCGCTAGATATGTCAGATCTTCCTAAAACTATGCATTTTTAGAGTATCTGACATAAGTGCGGTAACACTTTTTAAGGGTCCGAGCAACATGCCATATTAAGATGTGCTAGGATACTAAATTTGTCCACAACTTTCTTAACAGTGGCTATTATGTGGGAGTATCATTAGTGGAGAATACTGTACAACCAGCTGCACAATGCTGCACATTTAGAGGCAGCCTAGTAAAACTAAATGTTAGAACTGGTGCAATTATATGGCAAACATATACACTTCCAGACAATGGCGGGCGCCTCGGAGGATATTCCGGTGCAGCAATATGGGGAAACAGCCTAGCTATGACATAGCCAGAGGATATGTCTATGTAGGAACTGGAAATCTTTACTCAGCTCCACCAGAAGTGCTGAAATGCCAAGCAGCACAAAACAATCGAACAACGCCACCAACTGTTCCTGATCAGTGTTTCGGTAAAGATATTCATTTTGATTAAATTCTTGCACTGGATTTGATTTCTGGAAAAATTGCTTGGGCTACACAGCTTGGAGGCTACGACGTTTTCACTTTCGCATGTTTGGTTCCTAATAATCCTGATTGCCCACCGGGGCCGAACATGGATGCTGATTTCGGAGAGGCCCCTATGATGCTAACCATATTGTCAAATGGAAGAATTCGCGATGTTGTGGTGGCTGTGCAGAAAAGTGGCTTTGCTTGGGTGCTACAATGGAAATATTGTTTGGTTTAAAGTAAAGTCTTATAACTAGAATGTTCATCTTTAAGTACCCTTCACATCATATCAATTAGTATTTTCATTTGTTAACATAAGAAGCTTGCTATAACTGATTAATTTGTGTTATGTAGAAAGCAGGACCGGGGGGTGCAGAGGGAGGAGGAATATGGGGTGCAGCCACAGATGGACGGCGAGTTTACACTAACATAGCGAATGGAAACAAACTTCCTTTCACCCTGGCACCTTCAACTCAAACAACAACAGCTGGTGGATGGGTGGCAATAGATGCAAACACAGGCCAAATCCTATGGACCACTGCAAACCCTAGCAACGAGACGTCCCCTGGGCCAGTCACCATAGCTAATGGAGTTCTCCTTGCAGGATCTGTGGCACCTAATGGACCTCTCTATACCATGGATGCCAGTAATGGAAAAATCTTGTGGACATTTAACACTGGTGCTACTATCTATGGGGGTGCATCAATTAGCTATGGTTGTGTCTTTATTGGCCATGGATATTCAGTTGGTCTAGCTAGGTTGTTCCATCCAACTTGGGCCACTGGGACTTCACTCTTTGCCTTTTGCATTATGTGAAATTAATAGATATTTATGAATTAATGTATTTTCTCTTTCTGATAATAGTTGTGATGATACTAATAGTTTCCCTACCTAATGATCATGTTTCAAGTTACATTACTTGGAATAAAAACAACTTAAAGAAATGGAATATACTAACTTAATTAACTATCAACATAAGATATGTTATAACTCATTTTAGTTATCAATGTGTCACGATCCAAAATCCAAGATCATGATGGTACCTACCTAACCTATCGGTATGTAACCCATTGGCACCTACCTAACCCATCCTGTCCCTCAAACACAAATAGGATATCAAGGCATCTTGTCCCTCTGATCACATACCTCTTCTCATGGAAACCCTTTCCAATCAAAATAACTTTATCTGATACTTTAGATTCTTAAACTTATGAACTCAAGAATCAGACTTTTTGGAGATTAGTCAAAACTCTTGGAAGATGAATGTGATAGGCAATGCAATGTGGAGACTCCAGTGTAACTTGAAGGTTCTAAGCAAAAATCTGAGTAAATGGTCTAGAGAGACCATTGGGGATATTCATGAGCAGGTTAACAAATGGGAGACCAGAGTTGAACTTCTTGAAGAACTGGACACTCTAAACAACAATGAACAAAGTAGGGAAGATTTTAACAGGGAGCATGCAGAATATGTTAAATGGCTTGGAATGAAGGATGCTTTACGAAAGCAAAAAACTATAATCAATTGGTCCAAAGATGGGGACTACAACAGTAAATATTTTCAGTGTGCTAAGAGACAAAAGAAAGAAACTTCTTATTCACAGAATCAAAGACCACCGAGACAACTGGATTGAAGGGCAGTGGCGGAGCCACCTTATTCTCAGGGGTTCATCTGAATCCCCTTGGGCGGAAAATTATACTATTTATACATGGTTAAAAAATTTTTTTAGGTATATATAGTAGATGTCGAACCCCCTTCGACTACTTCGTGTGTCTATTTCTTCAAATTTTGAACCCCTTTATTGAAAATCCTGGCTCCACCACTGTTGAAGGGGACAACATGATTGCAAGGGTTGCTATTAGACATTAGCAGAATCTCTTCAATATGGGGCAACCTAATCAGCATAGTGGCACTTTGGATTGCATACCAAAGTTGATTACTGAAGAGGATAATTGTATGAGTGCAGATAGCAGAGTGTAGGACCTGGCTTCAATGGTAAGTTTTTTCATATATGTTGAGATTATAAAATATGATGTTTGTGACTTTATTGCTGAATTTTTCTCTGAAAAAAAAACTTACTAAATACTTCACTCACACATTTTTGGATCTTATCCCCTAAAATTGAGTCCCCTTCTAACTTTTTTGAATTAAGGCCTATTAGCTTAAGTAATTTTTCTAACAAATTTGTTTCTAAAATTCTAGCTAGAAGGATAAATCCTATTTTTCATAGACTCATATCTATTAATCAAAGTGGTTTCATTCCGGACAGATTGATTACTGAAAATGTCATGTTTGCTCAAGAAATAATGCATGGTATGTCTAAGCATAATACTGGTGGTAATATTGTCATCAAATTAGATATGTCTAAGGCATATGATAGAATGGCTTGGAATTTTCTAATGGATATTCTTAAAAGATTTGGCTTCTCATATAGACGGATAAATTTAGTGTGGAATTTAATTTCTAATGTGTGGTATTCTATTTTCATTAATGGATCTAGAAATGATTTTTTCTCTTTTGCTTAAGGTTTAAAACAGGGTGATCCTCTGTCCCCCTCTTTATTTATTTCGGGTGCTGAGGTTCTCTCTAGAACTTTGAATAGTTTACACACTCATGATAATTTTATTCCTTTCTCGATGCATCAAAGAGGTCCTCAGATTAACCATTTAGCATATGATAATGATATTGTTATTTTCAGTAATGGTAAGAGTAAACGTGTTAAGCTCATCATGAAACAGATCAACAAACTATGAGAAAGCTTCAGGGCAAGAAGTCAACAAGAATAAAAACTGAAAGGCTAGTGCTTACAGAATCAACAGGATAAGACAATGTAATAGTTTTTTGGAAAAGATTTTCCCTTTTACTTACTTGGTTTCCCTATCAATATTGATAAGAAAAAGATGCTTACCTATGGAGGTAAAACTGTTTTGATCAAAAGCGTTCTTCAATCATTCCTTATTTATACTCTCTCTACTATTGATCTTCCCATTGGTACTATTAATCTGTTAGTTTCGCATTTTGCACGATTCTTTTGGGATTTTAATGAGAACAAAGACGAGCACCATTGGAGATCTTGGAAAAATCTTTCTTTTCCTAAAGATGAAGGTGGTATAGGTATTAGAAACATGTATGACATCTCTAAAACCTTGTCCGTTAAAAGATGGTGGAGATTTAGAACCAATCAGTCTCTCTGGGCTAATTTTATGAAATCTAAGTATTGTCAAAGGGTTTATCCTTCTGTTAAAGCTTGGATCTCTAGTAATTAAACAAGCTTGGAAGTTCATGGTCAATGCTAGACATGTTGTTGAACCTAACATTTTATGGAAAATTAACAGTGATAGTTGTAATATGTGGTGGGACAATTGGTGTGAGAAAGGGTCTTTGGCTAGTCTGTACCCTGACCATTTGCATAATAACAACGTCAAGGTTATGGACTATATTGCTGGTGGTAAATCAAACATGAATAAATTAAGGGAAGATCTCCCTGATCATATTGTCCTATATATTGCTAACATTCCTATTAGGGATGTTAATGATAATGACTATGCTGTTTGGAACATTACTCGGGATAGTCAATATACCAATTCTTCTGCTTGGCAAAGCATAAGAGAAGTGAGACAGAAAGATGGCATCCTGAGTAAGGTTTGGCACAAATGCTTACCTTTCAAAATATCCTTTTACCTGGAGAATGATGCTCAACAACTTACCTTTTGATGAGGTACTCCAAAGGTTTGGTAATCCAATGGATACCAAATGCCTATGTTGCACAATACCTCAAAATGAATAATTCAACATGTGTTTAGTGATAGTGAGATGGCTAAGCATATGAAATAACTTTGGAAACCCCCTTGGAACTAGTCACTAAGGAAGCAACATTAGAATTCTCTTCAATGCTTGGTGGAATATGAATACTGCCAACAGTGTGCATAAAATGGTACAACAAAGCAGTCCCATATGTATAACATGGGAAATTTGAAAAAATTGGACATCTTGTAGATATGGAGATCAGACCAAATATTTGACAACTAGAATGGAAGTGCAAATCTTATGGAACATCAAAGCAGCTATTTGTGTTCCCAACGTGTGACTTAACAGGAAAATGGGTTCAAATTTGCTCAAGAATTGGAAGGTACAGACCTATTGTTAGATGGAGGCAAGTTGTTTGGACCAAGCCTGTGACCAGAAGGATCAAATTCAACACAGATGGAAGCTATATGCAAAAAAGTATTTTCAGGGCTGGCATTGGAGGGGTTCTCAGAGATGACACTGGTCATCACATTATGGCTTTCTCAGTCCCAACTCAATGTAAAAGCAACAATCAGGCAAAAGCAATAGTAGCACTTTATGCAATAGAATGGTGTAATCAAACTGGGTACGACAAATACGATCTGGAGTTGGACTCAATGGTGGTTACAAATATGCTCAAAGAAAAAGACACCAACAATGTGAAGCTGAAAAACCTTATCAAATGAACTGTCAAGGCTATGAAAGGGGTAGAAGTGAGCAATGGCTGACTTCCTAGCCAAATTAGGCTACATCGAGTGGAAATAGTACCTTCTACCTCTCTTATCAACAGCTCCGGAAAGAAGCAAAGGGACTTTTTCAACTAGATAGACGGCAACTACCTTGCATACGAAGATGATTTGTAATTTTTTTGTTAGTTGAATCTTGTACTTTGCTTATTGAATGGAAGGTTATAAGTTTGTTGCCTTCCCTTTTTTGATGTCCTAATTTCCACTATCTATTTTTGCCAGAGGTTAGGTACATGCCCCCTCTATTTTTGTGTAACTTATGTTGGAAATTATAGACATGGCAGGGGTCAAGCCAAACTCCCCACACCTAATAGCTTTAAGCTTTGATGGTGATGGCTTAAATTTAAAATATATATATATATATATCAAGGCAACATTTTCTGTAACAAAATACAGGACCTAGAGGTGGTTGAATTTTATTAAAGTAAGAGCAAAGTACAAACTCGAGGGCGAGGTATGCTGATACCCTTGTAGATCAAACTAGGTATGAAATGGTAAATCCTAAATTCTCTTTACAACAGCCTTGAACGAACCGGGGAAACAGAAAAAAAGGGAACTCAAGAAACTAGCAAGCGATAGTGCTGCATGATTGACATAAAAGGATCATCGTGTACATGTTAAACTGGTAAAAGAGACTATTTCATAGATCTTATGTTAAAACCTGGTGCTGATTCTTTTTACTGCATCTGCAACTCGCCTGTATCCTGCTTTATTAGCCAACAGTAACATATCAGTTCCCAAGCATTTCTTGTGCAGAAAATCCAAAATAGTTATCAAAAAAGTTTGGTGGTTCATAGATGAAGCAAGAAATGACATCTCTGAGCGTAATCACACCAACTACTTCATCACCATCCTCAGCTGTCACGTAGATCCTGTGAACTAACTTGGACGCGAGAGTGTCTATCACAGTACAAAGAGTTGAACCGAGCTTGCATGTTATTGGTGTAGCAGCCTTTGTGGCATCATGGGTTGCCGAAGCAACGGTGTTCATGAAGCCCGCAACTGTCAGCTGCCTGTTATTTGAACGAGCAAAATTTAGTACCAGCTCAAAAAGAAGAGGAGAACATCTCTGAGCCTAGTGATAAAAGTTGAATCGTTTTGCCATTTAAATATTGATTTCAATTTTCTTGCACAAGTTCAACCATAAGAAAGTCTCTCTAGAATTGAAACTCTCTAGTTATTTATTGTAGAAGTAATCCAATAGTCATATCAGCAAGGAACTAACAATTATATGTATGACATACCTGAAATTGGAGAATAGTTCAGGTTTGAGTAACAAGAATCTGATGTCTCTTATGCTTACATTGCCAACTATTTTCTTCTTTGGTCCTTCAACAACTGGCAGACCTCCGATATTATTATCTCTCATTTTCTTGAATGCTTCCAGAATCAGCTCATCGTCTCGGACACTAATAACCTGTCATACACATTGAAAGACAAGACTTCCAGTCAACAACTTTTGTAATGTTAAAATTTAAAAATATATCGTATTCAGAAGTTACAAATAACAGACCTCGTCAGCGGACATGTATGGGAGGCCAAGTTCTGATATAGGGTGAGCGGAGATGCAGTCAAACCAATCCCTCCCTTTGCATCCTACAAGACCCCGTACCACGGCTGATTGAGTTATAAAGTTCTTAAGGTATGGACTTCCCCTTTCTATCACTGGTACGTTCCGCAGCCTATATTTTGACAACAGCAGCAACACACTCAACATAGAACTGTCCATTGCTACTGGAACAAATGGTGCCCACCGATAGGATTTTATGATGGAGCTCACCTGCAAATGTAATTACTGGACCTTGTCATGTGTATTCATGGCAAATACTCTGAATATATTTGTAATACCGCTTGTGATTTGATCATTCTTTTTCATGTTAAAGAGTACTAAAGACGCGAAGAAGCTGTAAATAATTTAGACATAAGCACCCTAAATAAGAAGGTAAAGTCTCTCTTAATCAATCAATTCAATCCTTTAGAAGGCATGCTCACCTTTGTTGACTTAAAGGGTTCTTCTTGAAGGATAACTTTGTAGAAATCCTCACCCAACGTATCAGCTGCAGTTGGAGCATCCTTTCCTGCTCCTCGATCTGCAGCCACTCCACCTGCCACAGCTGCACCGACTGCAGCAACCGTTAGACCAGCAACTGCAGCAGGACCTGTTGCACCTAATGCCAGTGCTCCAAGAGCACCAACAGTACCTGCTCCAACCCCGGCTGCTGCTGCTGAACTTGCTGATATGGCAGCTGCTGCTGTTTCCGCACCCTCCAGCACCCAAAGAACAATAGCGGAGTAATCAAGGACGCCTAAGTACCTTTCTCTCCAATCCAAACTATTCTGAGCAGCTCGATTCTTCACAGGAACTGAGAGGATGTTGGATTCTGAAAGAATTTTAACAGCATCGCCTATAGAAGTCTCGGCGTCTATTTCAATCACTGGAATGAGGTATACGAAGCCGTTTAGGATACAACATTGGATATCAAAAACATAATCATGAGAAAACTTGTCTATTTTATATACCTTTGCCTCCAGGGACTTGAGGGAAGGATGAAACTGGAATATTTGCAAATGCATCAGTCAAAGTTTCCTGTAAATTACGGGGTAATTTCTTTCTTCTCTGGACCATTTCAAAATAAGCATCATAGCTTGCAAGTTTCGACGTATTTTCTGTAATTTTCGCTTGTGCCATTTACTTCAATATATTCAGAGAAGGGGACCTGGCTCTAAGAATATATTCCTGAGAAGCACCAAGACAACAATCAGATCGATAAATTTTAAAGAAGATAGTGATACAGTAGAATCTCTGACCATTAGATCGATAGGAAAATATCATTGCTACAAACTTATGCCTACACTTGATTGAAGGATTCCGTAACTCATTAGAACCTAATACAAATGCCTGTAACTTTGTATTTCCACTTAAGAATAATTATGAAAGATGAAACTAATGCTAACAGTAAAATCTCTTTCTGCTCAGAACCATCTCAAAAATAAGCATCATAACATCAACCTCTCTAACCCTGTAGTATCGCGGAGACTCTGTTCCTGAGTACTCCTTCCCCGCAGCCAAAATCAGAACAAAATCATAAATTAGACAGTTGCAACAATTTATGCAGAGTTCAATCAGAGTACGTTGATCAACGCATTACTTGCTTAGCTGTGTATAGGATAGATTTAAAAGCCGTGCTGAATACAAGCCTAATGAATAAGTGAGAGTCACACTAGAGAAGAATTTTATAGGACTGTCCTTCCAAAAAGCCATATGGAAAGAATTTTAACTACATGACAGGTATGTTGAAGTGGATGGTGGAGCCACGATTTTCACCAAGAGGTTCAAAATTTGAAAAAGTAAACATACCAACTAGCCGAACGAGTTCGACATCTACTATATATACATGAAAAATAATTTTAACCCGGTGTATAATTTTCCATCGAAGGGGGTTCATCCAAGCTGGTTCCGGTCAACGTGATCATATATAAGACATGGATATGTTGACGTGGCACGCCATGTCAACATGGCCAAACGATGGTTCAATGATGTGGCAGACACGTCAAACACATGTAATGATTAACCAACACATTATATTTTTCTCCATTTTAATTTTTTTTGGTCTGAATTTGGAAACTAAAGACTATTGGGATAAAACAGTCCAAAAAAATGGTGTGATATTGTCCAAACATAATGTAATCAGAGGCGAACCTAAGATTTGTAGAACATGGATACACCACTAAAAAAAAAGAAAAGGAAGACACGTATTAAGTGAGAATTGATCCTGGGTAAATAACTAAACAATCCAACCAATTGCACTATTTAGCCTTCTCGTAAGATGGGTGCCAACACGAAAACATTTACATAAAATATGTAAAATCATAGTTCGTTTTTAGCCTGTAAACTCTCCCCTAGGTGTGATATTATCCGTTCTAGGCAGCGCCTCCACGGTTTTCCCCAAAACATCTCAAACCATTTAAGAGTTATTCATCACCTTTTCTACTTTCCATTTCCATGTGCAACTTTGTTCACACAACTAACAAAAACAATGTATACTTCTAAAAATAAGTTCAATTCGGCACATCAATTTCTCAAAATATTGGACCAAAACCAAACCTAATCAAATTTAATTTTTCTCTTTTCAGATTCAATTTTTACCTAAATTATGAACATTCTGATCAATTCCTAAACCTACACACTTATCAAAAATAATTATAATTATTATTAATAATAATAATAATGAATTAAAAATGTAGCGTACCTGTTAGGCGGCTCTGCAGAGGTTTTAATTTTTGGGATTGATAGAGAGTGAGATGTGAAATTTGGTGTTTGAAGGGCGAAAACTGTGTGTTGGTGATGATGAGATGACAAGTTAGTTACTACACTCATTTTTTGTTTCTGTCGGATTTGCCATCTGTTATACTTACCCTCCACGTGTCACTCCATCCATGTATTCTAACCTACCACCACAACACCAATCATCTCATAACAAATCACCTTATGAGAATTTTTACGAAATATCTGAATACACATTTAAATATTAAAATAAAATGTATTATGCTTTGATTGTCAAATAATGAAAAATTTATCTTTTTAACATTTGAATGGGTAAGACTTGCTTTTATTTTAAAGTTAATAATAAATGTAAATTTATATGAAATACCTTTTTTTGTCTCAATTTAAATGGGCAAGACTTGTTTCAGAATGGTGTTTAAAGAGAAAAATTTGAAGATTTTTTAAATTTGTTATTTGTAAAAAATCATGAATTTTTTTAGAGTAAATTTTAGGTTTAGCAAACATAAAAATCATATTTGTATGTCATAGCTATAGTTTGTATAATTGCACTTCATGTTTCCTATGGAGCATCAGATTTGTATAAATCATTAGCAACCTCTCATTTGTATAAATCGTTGGCAGTCTCTCGTTTGTATAAATCGCTAGCAGCCGCTCAATTCAATTGTATATATGTAACTGCTATGTATATGTATCAATGATTGTGTTTGTATATCTACATAAAATTTGAATTTGTATACAATTGAATCGAAATAAAACATTTGTATATCAAATCTCTCTCTCTCTCGCTTTATACAACACAAATTATACATTGTAATTTGTATAATTTGTGTTTGTATAAAACGAAAAAGAGAGAAAGGCAAAAGACAACTGGTAGAGGAAGATTTGTATATGTATAATTATAAGTGTATAGAATGAAAATATATGTATTTTATTTGTATATACACTTTTCTCTCGCTTTATACAAACACAAATGCAATTTATACATTTGTGTTTGTATAAAGTGAGAAAGGCGAGGGAGAGTGGCAAGCGAGATTCGCTGGGGAGAGAGGCGAATGGCAACTGTTTGCTACGGATTACAATTAAATGAAACTGTGGTTATAACATTTAATTTGAATTAATAGTTTGCTATTTTATACAATTTTCCTTTTTTTTTATAGTTATAAATCACTAGTTAACCAAACCGCGCTTCGCGCGGTCATATTTTTCTATATTAATTGATATAAAAAAAATTAAGAAATTGCAATACTAAAATATATATATGAAAAAATCAAACAGAAAATAACAATAAAAGAAAAAGAACAATAGAATTAAATTAGTTTCAAGAAAAATAAGAAGAGAATTATATTTTTTCCTTGGAGCAATAGAAAGACATATTTCTTTATGCGTCAATTTTATATACGTTGCTATCTCATTTTTGGGTGTTTTAAATTATTTATGTTATTTCACTAATAGTTTCCTTTATATAATACTATTTACGTTTATATATTTATTTAACTATATAAATTTAGAGTTCATGTAATTTTTCTTACTTATAATATAAAATTTTCACAATTATTACTGTAAAATATGAGCATATCAATTTTTTTAATTGATAAAATTAATAGCTTAAATATTTTGTTATATATCTACACAAAAATTAATATTTCATAAAAAAATTACATTAAAAATTAGAAATAATAAATACATAAGAGATGTCAAATATCAATTTTGTATAGAAACTGAACAAACTATGTAATCCAAACACTACATAAAGATGAAGAAGTTAAAAACGAATATCAATGATTTCATATATTAATATGTGGATGAGTTTTGATTTTCAATAAAGAATATGAAAAATTTGGACAATAAATGATAATAATTGTGACTTTTATTCTTATAAACTAATAAAATAAATAAGAAAATAGGAAAAAATTATCTTTTTTTGGCTAGTGCAATATTTTTTTAGTGTCAGCTTTAATCATGGGTTCATCATGAAACGTAATAAATATAAATGGATGTTAGAATATATTTTTTTGGAGAGTTACCTTTCCATTTTTAAAATTTATTTACTGAGCAATTATCTTATTCTTCAATTGACTAATTATGTAAATATTTTTTAGATTATTGAAAATTAGATAAAAAGAGAAATCTCATAACTAGGAGAGTTAAAGAGATGATTTAACTTTTTTCAAGCTATTTGAAATGATATTTCATTAGACTACTCTATTTTAATAATTTTTCATTCATTAAGGAGAAAATGAAAGATTTGAGTGATAAATATTTTTGTATTTAAATTTACAATAAATAATAGAAATAAGTGGAGTAGTAAAATTTGAGGTATTTAAATTCTTATAATAAATAAAAGAAATTAATGAAGGGAATAGTAATTGACACATTTCTAATAGTAATTATAAATAGAAATATAGTGAAAATTACAACAATAAAAAAATTAAAATAAATAAATAAGCATTATTGGCCAAAGAGGTGCCAAATCATTTTAAAAAAATATTTTAGCTTTATATAATATATGATTCAGTCTCTTCTCATTTATTGTTGAAATTACGTTATTACCCCATCTATTTAATTTTATTTGTCCAATAGTTTTAAAATATATTCATTTCTTTTATTTATTACTTTTATCATATCAAGAAAAGATAATTATTTTTTTTATTTTATACTCAACATTAATTGAGCTGAGAAAGAAAGGCATTTCAGTTTTTACAATATATAAAAGAAATAAATGGAGAGAGTAATAATTGACACTCTTTTTAAAAATAATAATAAATTAAAATATAGTGAAATTTTTCAAAAAAAAAAAGAAGAAGAAAGAAATAGGATATTTGTCTCTTTTTTTTAAAACGTAAATTAAAATATAGTGAAATTTATCAAAAATAAATAAATAGAATATTTGTCTCTTTTTTTTTTTTGAAAACGGAAGTATTGCATATAATGCTTATAGTTTCTTTAGCTTTTCATTAGAATTATACAAATACTCAAGTTTGTTGTCAATTTTTTTAATTCATTGCTTGGATAACGTTTTTTTTCTTTTTGTAAGTTATAAATTTCCACTCTTTAAAATGTTTCTAATTTTAGTGTCGTATTTAGGAATGCACTTCGGCATACAAATAAACAGTAACATCGAGTACATAATGTTCGTTATAGAATGTTAAAAAAAATTATCATAATAAAAATTTAGAAGAACTAATCATAATTTAACCTAATGAATTATGTATGTACAACTATAGTCATATAAAAGAAAAAGAAAAAGAAATCTTTATATTTTAAGTTCTTCAATAAAGTATATAAATGAAATATAGAGAATTTTTAAGTTCTTCAATAAAGTACATAAATGAAATATAGAAAATAGGAAAGAAAAACTAAAAAGATCAAATTGTTATAATAATAATTTTATTGTAAGACTCTACATTATCTTCTTCCAAAATTCATAATTTTTTCTACTTTTGTATCTTCCTCAACTTTCTTCTTCACCCTACAAGCACAAATAGTATATTATAAAATTGTTAGTTACTCTGTGATTTTATTTGGATTGAGTTTATTCAATTTAGTTTCAAAGATTAGTTAAATTGACTAAACAAAATAAATAACATCACATAAATTATTAAA